CCTCGTGCGAGCCGCCCTCCTCTCGCTCCTCTGCCCCAGCCTCACCCGCTTGCTCCTGCTCCTTGAAATTCCAGAGCTGTTCCTCCCTCAGGACTTTGGCCTTTCTGTTCCCTCAGGCTTTCGCAGGGCTGGCTCCTTTAATTCAATCTGGTCTTTCTTCAAAAGATACTTTTTCAGAAAGGCCTTTCTTCTATCCTATCTTCTTGTCTTGGCAACTAGCTGAGCTGTTTGTTAGGTTACTTGTTTATAGTCTCTTTCCCCCAGCAGGACGTAAGCTCTATGGGGACTGGGACCCAGAATAGCTCCTGACACAGGAAAGACACTCAACAAATACTGTTCAGTGAATAGGTTCAACTCCAGTTCTCAGACCCACCAGCCTATGTTGCTGCTTTGAACTCATGTCAGTCTCATTAGATATCTCTAAGACAGAATGGCTACAGTAGAATGTAGAGCCAGAACTATCTGGGTACAAAACCATTCCTAGTTGTATAACTGTGCAAGTTACTCCTCATCCCTGAGTCTTAATTTACTTACCTGTAAAATGGGTTTAGTAGTCCTACTCTGTAAAGCTGTGGTAGGAATTAAATGACATAATTTATATAAAAAGAACAGAGTGGTTGGCCTATTGTATGTGTCTAATTGTTATTTCTCTTTTTCGTTGAGAATTTTTCTCCATAAATTTTAAGTTTATATTTAGGTATCTTTTACTCTGTGACAGGCACTACTATAAGTGTTCTATAACTTGCCTAAGATCACACAAGTGGGAAGCAGCAGAGCCCAGACTTAAACCCAGTGGTTCCATTTGATTTCAGAGGTAGTGAAACAGTTATTGGCTGCCTTTATTGTGATTCCGTGGTAAGAAACGCATTTCACATTATAACCCGGCACATGTGTATGTATACATAGGAATGTAACTAAAGTATACATGAAAGGTTCACAAAATACCCTACTACATGCAGTGCATTCTGATAGCTTCTCTTCATTTTAATTTTTAAAAATGGTTTTGTATCAACAAATCGAAAGCACACTTTGAAAAACTTCTTGTCTAAATTACAAGTAATCCAATTGTTCTTACCTTCCAGTTACTTTAATTTCTACCAGAGAGACTATGATGGCTATCAATTAAGACTTTTATATTTAATTTACATTCCAGATAAAGTTCTAATTAGTTAAGATACTGATCCCCCAAGACTCAGATCTACTCCCCTTGCACTTATGGAAAAACCATCCTCTTGTCAGGTGAGATTCAAGTAATTCTTTCACTCTTCAAAAATTATTTATCACTATTGAAACTCGATACAAGCTGCCCTATGTTAGAACTATTTATGTACACGTCTGTCTTTCCCACTAGACTATCGGACACCATGGAGGGCAAAAACCATGTTTTATGAACACCTCTGTAGTCCCAAATGGTGAACTGAAGCGAAATGGAGAGGAGCTGGTTACAAAGAACTCCAGTTCTCAAGTGTTGGACGGGGAGTGTGAGCCTCAGACAAGAGAAGCCGCACACTCAGCCCTATGCATTCCCACATGAACATCCAAGGCACCTTCCCACTGATCCAGCGTTGCAGGTGGCTCATAAAAACCCTTCTGTCTGGAAAATCTGCACTGCTCTTGCCCTTAATTTCCCAATGCCATTCCTATCCCCTTGTGGCCCCTTCTCCTTTCTGCATTCCTCTAGGCTAAGACAATGCACATTTCTACCTCTGGCAAAAGTTTGTCCCTGTAGACACATATTCCCCTGAAAACTAAACTGAAATCATTTCTGGATGAGTGGAAGTACATTAACATTTTCACCTGATACGACTTTCAGTCCTGATCTCTGGGCTGGCATACCAGCTAGTGTTTATAGATATTATAAGGTATGTATCTGTATGTAGCCTATGTGTCAAGGGTAAACAAAACAAAGAAAAAGCCCCTGACTTAGAACTCTCAGTTGCAAGGCAGGAAATTCCTTCAGAGGGCAGGAAGTAGCTATGAGCTTGTCTGCCAGGCAATCTCCCCACCCCTAGGGGAAGATTATCCTGGTGTTGTTTTAATCCAGCAGATGCTGAGCACTTTGAGAAAGGGAACAAACAACTGGAGGAAGTATTACCACCTGTTTATGTTGACTTTTACCAAACAAGACTGGCCACCAGCTGTTGAAGGGTACAAGAGGAGCTAAGATGGGAACAGGAAATGCCAACTCAGACTGAAGCTAGTTTTTAGCTTTCTGGCTCTTTGGAAAAAAAGCGCCAAGGAAGTACATGGTCATTCTCAAATGGCCGAGAGGCAAAGGCAAGATAACGCACCCCATTCACTAATGGAGCAGGGCCGGGCTTGATGCATCCGCGGGGTCAAACATGTGAGTTATGACACCAACGCAAGGGGCCTCCCTACATTCATTTCCTCACTGAAAGCTGTATGTCACTGGGGGCAATGATGTCCACACAAGATGATGTTTCTCAGCCTCCCTCATAGTTGGCTATCGTCGCACGACTGAGCTGTGGCCAAACCAAGTGAGAAGTGTTGAGTATGATTTCCAGGAAGACTCTTTACAGGGTGCTGACTCAGCTAGCTTTGCCCACTTTTGCCCTTACCCTCTTTTCTTCATGCTGCCAGGAATTTAAAGGTGATGGCTGATGGTCCAGCAGCTATTCTGGACCATGAGGTGACCCTGAGAAGGGAACAATGCCGTGGTACAGACAGGAGCCTCCCTACCAGTCTTGGACGGCCTTTACTTTTCTATGAGAGAGACACACTTCTTACTTCAGCTGTTGCTGCTCTGGGTTTGTTATATGTAGTCAAATCCAACCTCAACTGAGATACCCTGATACTTTGGCAAGCATGTGACAGACACTTCCTATCCTCCTATCCTCCAGAGCGCAGTGGACTGTTACCTAATACTACCCTTCTAACAAAAGCACGGGAGAGCCGAGGCATGTATTATGTCAGAAGAGGAAAATGGAAGTGAAACAAAGCAAGACTTGCCCAGTGCCACACAACTGGCTACGTGGAGAGCAGTGGGATCTGGAAGCCAGATTACCTTACCCCTGAGATTTTAAAAGCATAGTGAAAATAGGTGACAGATTTCCTTAAAAAGATTTTGATTGGTTAAGTAATGGTTATTTTTAAAAAACAAGAATTTAAGTACAACTCATCCCTTCTGTCAAACGATTTCGTATCAAGGGGACTTCAGAGTCACTGACTCTGAAAAACCCTTCAAGTTGCTGCCACAGTATGACTGCTGCATTAAAATGAATTAGAACTCACTGTATTGTTACAACATACATTAAAAGAGCTGAATTCTCGAACAGGTGAAGATACATTTTGAAGAAGCAATTAGTAAAATGGATGTGTTACTGTTTTAAGAGCATAACAGACTTGATGATTAATGTAGAATTGACAGTCTTTAAGAGGTAGGACTTTTTTTTTCATTACAATGCACATAAAATTGAATCAGATGAATTCAACAGAAAAGTTTTAATGGGACAAATGTCAAGCAAGTGTATCAATTTCTTGAAAAACAAAGAAAATCTGAAAGTTTAATTACAGAAACACTTGTACAGAAAACTTGGCATTTCAACAGTTCCAAACACACGTACACGAGTTTTTTCTAAAATTTGTCAGAAAGAAAACACCTTGTCTCCCTTTCCTCAGCTGCCCCTTGTTTTAATAAAAAAGAAAGAAATCTGTAACACTGAATAGGCAACAGCTTATTTATTGAGAGAAACATAAGTGCAGCAACTTCTACAAATGTACTGGGAAATATGAACTAGGTACTGCGCTAGCCTGTACCTCATTTACCACCTCCTTGTCGAGCACAGAGGAGAGAGGAGGTGGCACAGACCTGCTCTACAGACCCTGACGGCCCTGTGGCAGCTGAATCCCAGCCACCAGAGTCGGGTGTAGCTGCTGGCAGAGCCAGCATTTCAAAAGCTAGCTGCTAGTCTGTGAAAATGATTTCGTATCGTAGGCTCTCTTGAGATCTTGTGCATTCCTGAATACGCAAATGTTTCAAGTCAGTGTCAGGTGTCCTACCTAGAGACAGGAGGATGATTACCTTGAACCAAGTTACAGCCTTTCCCAGTCACAAAAGCAGTGCTAACGAAGCTGCACAAAATTGAACACAAAGAAGAAACAGAGAGAAATACTAAGAGGAAGGACGAAAGGACAGGAAGCAACTGGCAGAAGGCAGACACGAACCTCCAGAGCTGGCTTTGGATGTCCCTCTACCATAGACAGTGAGTTCTAGCTAGGCCTTAGCAGGCAAGGGGTCTAAAAGAAATGGCAGAAACAGTAGATGAAAGCAGGAAAATGGGAAATACAGAAAAGGAGGAGAGTTGGGTAGGTAATGATGGGGCCTTATTCTAAAAAATTGCCAAATGGTTGTATATGGGCTTCGGTGCATGGAAATTTGATGTGTGCTCACATAAGACATTTAAAAAAAGATTTTTTCCTCTTTTTGGACTAATAAAGAACAGGTAAGGAGATACTGAGAAGACAGGATGGTGCAGCAACATGACAGGGAGTTTCTGCCTCACGCCGACTTTTGGGCATATTGTGAGAAGGGCCACACCTCTATCTACCTGCCTGCAGTGGCATGGTGCCTAGACAATGGGCTCAGCATCCTCTGCTTTGGTTCCAAAGATCTCAGGGGCAACCTTCGGCCTTGTGCTCTAGGGTATCAAAAAACCCCCAAAAAACCAAAACCAAAAAAAACCCCAAAACCAAAAAAAAACCCCAGAACAAAAATAACCCCACAACAACCCTGAGGTGAGAATCACAACCCACTTCCCTTTTGGTGTTAAAAGAACCAGAAACTGCTGGGTGTGGTGGTGGCACCTGTAGTCCCAGATACTCAAGAGGCTGAGGCAGGAGGATCCCTGGAGCCCAGTTCAAGGCTGTGGTGTGCTGTCACCGCGCCTGTGAATAGCCACTGCACTCCAGCCTGCGCAACACAGAGAGATCCCATCTCAAAACAAAACAAACAGAAAGAACCAGAAACCCCTCTTTGCTTTGCTGTTTAAAAAAATCGCTTACTAAGGAGAGAGAAGGAAGGGATACCTATCTTCTTCACATAGATTCAGGAGTTAATGGCTACAGAAGGAAGAAAAAAGATACCAGAATTCTTCTGTGCCCTTTCTGTGAGCTCAAGACACTATTCTGGGTGATGTTTCTACCTATCCATGAATCATTACACCTGAAGAAGACAGGAGTCCCTCAGTTTTCACCTACACTAAACTTCGGGCTTTTTAAAAATACCAAATGAGAAACTACTTTTCTCCTCTGTTTACTAGTGACCTTTTCCTCAGCAAAAATGCTCTGCAAGACAGTGCCAACAGACGGGAACAGAAGAGCCTTGCTGGGGCTGGGACTCGGTGTCTGTGCAGGAGCCCTGCTTAGGAAACAGCGGGCAGTACCAGGGAGGAAGGAAAGAGCATTCTCCTTCAGGGCAGCAATCACAAAGCCGCTCAGAGGGCTGGCACCCACTGAGCACCATGTGGGTAGGAAACACAGCCTTCCTCCACAGGGCACTGTCAACAAGAAGCTCCTTTCTTTGGAGTCACAGCAGGGCAACGATGGGAGAAGACTGGGCCTGTCCAATGAGAGAAACTCTCCTTCAGAACCCTGCTGAGCAACAAAGCCCAGAGGTCAGAAAATGGAGATGTATAACTTGGTGGGGGCTAGTGAGAAATAACCCCCAAAGGCATTTAAAAAAAAATGACAGCTAGGTAAGAAAACTGGAGCTCCACTGATAAAAGGGTCCGATCGAAACTGCAGCCATGAGAAGTCTTCCTTTTTGCAGTGGATGTCAGCCTCAGGGTCACCTAGTCGGCTGTTGTATGCAGATCCACTTTAAGAGCCGTGGAAATGACAGGAAACCGAAGACCCCAGGAGAGTGGCGGTACACTTTCAAAGCTTCACACACGGACATCCATAGGAAGTTCATATGCCATATACGTGTTACTTCTGCTGCTCCCTCATATGGCTTCCTGGGTGCAGGCATGTCACTCACTGATAATTCTCTCACAGGCAAAGGGATCTGTACTGTCTCTGCCCCAACTCAGTTCGAATTTCCATGGATGGCTTCTCATTCCTCACAAATAAAAACACTTACAGAACATCTTGGAACTCTAAGACCTGTAGAATTAGGGAGGAAAAAAAAAAAGATGACACCAAAAATGTAAGTAGTGATCAGAAGGGGTTAGGGCTATGGATTCGTGAAATGCTTCATTTTCCTAAGGGTTAAGGTGAGGAGCAGGGTGTATGTAAACTAAAGAGCTCATAAGCTGCAGACCGGCAACCTCATTGAGATGTTTCAGATAACATTTCAGTGAGAACATGGCCCTGCTCCAGTTCAGCAACAATGGGAGGCAGGAAAATCATCAGCTAAACACAGAAAAGCAACGGACCAGGGACAAATCTGATGAGGGAAAATTAGTACCCTATTTTAGTCCAAAGACTGTAGGTTAGTCAAAACCAATTTTCTTCAAGTATTAATCTAAGGATATGTGCATGTATAGGAATATATTATGTGCATATGATCAAGAAATTTTCTCATATTGATAAAAATGCAATCATATAAGAAAGATTTTTTTCAGTCCTCAAATAGTCAAATATTTATTATTGGTTCAACTGAAATCAGGCAACATATAGATTTTAATAGCGCATATAAAGTGGTCCCCTCTCAAAGTCACGGCTTCCTCCTAGCTCCACTTGTCTCTAGGTACTACTTAGCCACAAGAAAGGTGACAGCTGGAGTAACTCTTTCATTGTATATCTATAAAAATAATTTTTATTAGTTTTTTTTTCTTTGAGACAGGGTCTCGCTATATTTCCCAGGTTGGTCTTAAACTCCTGGGCTCAAATGATCCTTCTGCCTCAGCCTCCTGAGTATCTGGGACCATAAGCACGTACCACCATGCATGGGTACAAATAATTTTTAAATTTTGTAACTTTATAATTACTAGATTGTAATCTTTTTCTATTTACTTCCTATTCATCTTAATGCTCTATTCCAAGATTTTTTAGTGCCTTCTCCCTCCTCCAATCCCTCCCCCACCCTGCCTCACAGCAGTATTTTAGAAATTCCACTGAATGAGAGTTTAGATATCTGCATTCTAATCCTGTATTCTGTGCTCAGCTACTCAGGTATTTTTAGGCAAGATGGTTCACCTCCTTGGATTCAGCTTCTTCATATATAAAATTTTGGATTTCTAAAGTTCCCTGCCAGCTCTAATATATTCCTTTAGAACTTGTGAACCATTAGTTTCCCTTCACTCATTGGCTCCTGACAATGGACGAAACCTTTGCCAAACTCATGTCAGAGTAATCAATTGCACCACGAGTGCTGGGACTTCAGGCCTAGCTGTCTGTACATATCTGCATAATGAGGCCAAGCTAGTATTAATCATAGCCTTTGTAATTGTTTCATTTGACAGTTTTGGGGGGTATAGGGAACTAACTATCTATTCTTAGTTATGTTTGCATGGTAGATTGTAAGAATCTGTAGTAATATAGCAGTTCACATTTTCACAGGCAAAATATTTGTAGGTTAAAATCGAGAATAATGGTAATATTCTAGGTTTTCAAAGACACTTCAGAAAGCAGATACTACAGTTTATATCCTTGAGATGGATAAAGCTTTAAGAGAGTCTTACTGGTAAAATGCTCGAAATGGAAAACTACTCTTGGTTCAGTACTTGAATTAAGGGCCCTATAGGAGACACCGTGTTACCAATTACTGTTTTCTTTCACAATCATCCACACTGTTTTTGCCAGCTCCCTCTCTTTAAGCCTACAAGAATGCTAACTGAAAACAGAATGTGGAAATGAGAAGGGTGATGAGCTCCTGGAAATCCCAGGCCCAGATTCACAAGCTGTTCCCTTGGCGAAGTGATGCCACTTCCTTACTCTGCGGGGGCCCAGCCGTCTCTTAGCAGCGTAGTCCGTTCCATCCGGCTACTCGCTAGAAGGGCAGTGGTCCTCTCCCCAATGGAGCACGGCTGAGGCTAAAATATAATGAATTGCCTTGTACAGTTACCATCCAAGGGCATGACCAAGAAGGATGAAGACTTCTGCAGTTGTCTCTGCCAGCAGATGTTGCCTCATTAAAGAATCCTGGGTTTTATTTATCCTTATACATGTTGCTCAAAATCCAAACCAAGCTAGAATGTGAATTATGTATGTGAGTGTGTTCATGTACCTGTAGGACACATGAAGGTTCAAACCCATGACCAGCCATTTGAAGGAACATATCCTGCAGTTGACTCTTGTTTCAGTATGCTTACATGGCCACCTCATCGTACGGTCCAACCCTGAAATTTCCACACAGTTTGTATGTGTACAGTTATGAAATAATGTAATCGACGAAGAACTGCCAATTTTGTGGACAGCATACTAAAAGGGTGCCCTGTGTCTAGGAATTTGAGTGAACACATACCAATTCCATTTAAGAAATGATATCTGATAGTTGACCATTTGTACCAAAAAGTTTGCATGGGTAGATCCTTTCTGGAAATGTACTTTTTCCCAGCTAAAAGGATATAACACACACTACTACTCATTTGTTAAATATATTTTTAGAAAGCTTATTTTCTCTCTTCTTTCTCTTTTGCTTATTGAGAGTTTGTTTTTAATCTGTTAAAACCAGGGCATTAACTGTTTCACTGTTTGGTCAGTCCACATCAACATTTCATATACAAGTGGTGAATGAAAAAGCTTCCTACTTACATAGGCTCATGTATACACAATGCCTCACTGACTCCTTCTAAATTGTCGTTAGTATTTTCCAGGGAAAAGAAAGATTAACAATTAAGTCATATTTATTTTGTTCTGAGTACTGTTTTGGGGGGTGATTTTCTCTAAGTTTCCCACTCTTCAAAACCCTTTGGGAAACGAATGCCCAAGAATACAGTCTTAAATAAGTGACAAAGCTGGAACTGAGGTTTAACTGCAGAAATCATACTTTTTCCATTAAACCATTCTGAAACACGTATGAATGAGAAGAAACTGTCTTGATTGTGTTTTCTTTTCCTTCTTTCTTTTATTTTTAGAGACAGGGTCTCGTTACGTTGCCAGGCTGGACCGAACGCCTGGGCTCGAGCAATCCTGCTGCTTTAGTCTCCTGAGCAGCTGGGAACAACGGTTCTGGTTTCTAACATTATTTACTACATTTAGCAGCCATGCAACAGGAATCTTAATCAAGTCCCTAGTTCGTTCACTCAGTGTAATTCCAGGGCTTCAGTAGTATTGCTACAGATTGAAGACATCTTATTTTGAATGATGTACTGGCATGTAAGTATCTTACCAGTGAGCACTCACCATTCACTAACGATCAAGCCTGTTCACAACTTCACGAACTGTAGCTATGAAGTTTTCATTGTCTTGGGGATTAGCTAAAATAATACTGTGCAGTCTGTTCATATATGAGTCAATGGTGTCCACTGTTGGTGTCTCTCCACTTCCTGAAGGGAAATAATCAGAAAAAGACTAAGAAAATCCTCCCCATTCAGTTCAACCATAAGACAGTTAAGTGAATACCCAGCAAAAGAAATTGTGACTCTAATGTGGTCTCCTCCACAAATAAGATAGAGACACTTTTGGACCTCAAAGAAATGAAATTAGTACACATACTCTAAATGAACAGATGGGCTAAATACCTGCAGTACAGTATATATGAGTAGCTGCATATAACAGAGGGTTAGAGATTCTCCCAGCTTTCTGCTGTGACTATCCTCAAAATGACAGTGTGTGTAAGAAGTACTAGTGTTTGTTTTCTCTTCCTTCCCATTAAAACAAAAACAAAAACAAAGGAAGCAAACATACATAATAGAAAGTGCTCTCCTAAGGACTTATTACTCACTTTCCATTGTTCTGAAAATCGAATTAAGCTTAACAGAAAGGAAAATAGATTATATTAAAATATAAGTAGACAAAAATTTAAATGACCAGAGAGCTTGAAATTTTGGAGGATTTTAGCCAATATCGACATTCTATTATATGACTACAGAAAACCCTGAGGGGAAAAACTTACTTTATTAATTTTCCTCTGGGGGAGATTACCGCCTCCCCACACCAATACCAACATAAATATTACAGCCCTTTCCCCAAGACCCGCCCCCTGGAAAGTATTCAGACAGGATGACATTACCAGGCAAGGGCATGCTGGCAAAGCTGCTGGTCAACACCTGCCGTAGGGTCTCCAGGTGCTGCTGTAAGACCGTGTTGCGGCTCCGTTCCTGGATCACATCCACCTCCAGCTTCTCCACTGCTGTGCGCATGCTCTCCACATGCTTTTGCAGGGCTGCATTCCTCTCCTCAAACTCCATGTTGGATTTGCGAAGCTGGCGGAGCTCTGCCTCCCGAGCTGAGGACACACACCCCACAGAACACATGCAGCACCAGGAGTCTCTGAGGAATCCCAACGGCTCTCCTAGGGAAGTTCTGTTCAGCTGCCTGTAATTTAGCTACCCCACCTCATCTCCCTATTCTCATTATGGCATTGCACATAACAATCTCAGCAATGAAACGCCTGGCTCCCCAGAGCTGTTTTAATTCTTAAAGCTAGTCATATTCTATACATAAGATTGCCATGAGCCGTTGCAATTCCCAGTATTTTTGTTGCCATTGTTAGTTTTTGCTTTTTAAAATTGTGCAATGAGAAGCCTGAGGGGCTTCATAGGGGGATCCTGGGAGACTGGCCAAGCACAACTGTGGGTACCCATCTTTACTACAGTAGGATCGGCTTTGCTCTTATTTATTTTATTTGCACCCCCATGTAAGCTTTATTGGTACAAAAGGTTCCAGGCTACGAGTATGAAAGCAAATGAATTAGTGATTTACATTTATGTTCTTTGATTCAGAGATCAAAGCAGCTTTCACAACACTGGCTGAGCCTACTTCACTGGTCTCTAAGTAGGTACCTTTACCACAGAGGGAAACAGAAGCAGGTATTCTTCTTCTGGACCAGTCCTAAGGAGGAATATCAATATCTTTGCTTTTGAGCAATGAACTCCTCATGAGAACTAAATCCCCTGGCAAAAACCTGAGGAACACAAAAAGAAGCTTCAGTAATCACCTTTGCTGTGGTTCAGGAATTCCTCTGTAAATATAGGAATGTCAAAAACAGACCGTTCCTTTACCTCTGTTTCTTTCTGTGAATCAAGAGTAACAAAAGAGTTAATTCTTACACAGAAGCTAAATTAAATAACAGTGCCTGAAGGCACAATGATCATATCTTGCTTAAAGAAATAGTAGGGTGAGCAGGAAGCAGTCCAGGTGAGTCTGAGGGAAATGTATTCACCTTTTCATTGGAATCAAACTTTCACAGAGCTTAAGCAGGTTAAGTATTCAGTTCTCTCAAGTGTACAACTGCTGTGCAATGAGAAACCTTAAAACAAACCTAATGGAGAATCTGAAGCCATTTCTTAGCTTTGTGTTTTGAATAGTCACCAGTATACAGCTGTAAAAGTGATTGAGGTGAGAACTGAGAAAGAGTGTTTCTTCAGTCACTTCTGTTGGTTACACATGTAAAATGCTCTCTGAGATAGGATTATGCAATCTAAATTTGCAGAATAGACAATAAGAATTTTAAGCAGAGATTGCCAGCCATGAGCAAAAATTATAATATTCCATTGGTACTTTATTTATGAGAGGAAGACTATCTTTTGGGATCTTTTACTTTCTTCACACACAGGAAAAACAAACAAACAAACATATAAAACCAAGAAGTTAGAAATAACCAGGCTCTAAAAATGAGAAAGCTAAGGATTATGTGAGCTAGAAATAACAAAGCCTAAAATTAATTTATCAAATAAGCTATTAAATATTAAAGTCTAACAAAACCACTGCAAAATATATTCCACAATGATCCTTAAGTATAAAGTCAATAATTCAAAATGCTGTTGCTTTGACAATGAACTTCAAGTTGAAAGCATTATGAACATTAATTACAAGTGTCTTGGCATAGTGTGGAAAATCTCACATTACATAAGATGGTAAAGAGAATGTCAGGAAGTGAGAACTAAACAAATTGCTAGTGAAATCTGAAGATTCCAAAACCTTTATAACATGAATAGTAGTAAACAAAATACCTAGAAATCATTCCCATGAAAACATTTTTAAAGCTAGAGATGGAATGTATTTTTCCTACTTTTGTCACTGCTAGCTTTTTATCTTTGAACACAAAAATGATTTGGTGCCCAGTGGAAAAGCTAAGCAGTTAATAGCCTATAAGGAAATTCTGACAGCCAAGCTCCTGTTTTCACACTGGTTTCTGCCTCTAAGGGGCCTGGGCTGTGGGAACTGCCTGCCAATGGCAGTTCATCAAGAAGGACATTTACAATGGAAGTCTGGAAAACTATGTATTTATCTGAGGGAAATTTCAGAGTTTTTAATTTTTACCCTATCTTTTTCTTCAGAACAATTTAAAAATAAACAACAAAATTATCATTGAAAATTCCAACTTTCAACAGCAAAAGCTCTACCTCAAGCCAATTCCTTGTGGATTTCAATGAGAACTAACATATGGGCAAGAAAGGCTGCTTCCATAAGAGATCTTAGACACGTTTCTGCAGTGGCTTTCTCTCAAATCTGCTGACTTAACATAGCTTTAAGTCTGTTACTGGGTTGCTGAAGGAAAACAGAAAACTTAGGACACACAATCCCTATATATACAAGGCACAACAGATTCAAGCATAAGTCCACAAATGACTTAGGATAAAGTCTTATGACTTGATCACCCTATCTTGTTCAGTCTCCTGCTTCACTGCATAGTTACATGAGATCAGTTACCTAGCTATTCATCTCAGGAATGCCAGTTAGGTGGGTAAGTGGAGATGACTGGCTCCCATTACCATGGTACAAAGAACGCTCCACGAGGTCTTGACTCTCCTTAGACTGGTAAGTCTGTTCTCTTCTTTGCCAGAGTAGTCCAAACCAAGCTATTACGTAAGGGCAGAGGATAGCACCATGTAGGTGTATTAACACACTGCCCCTTGGTACAGATTCTTAGAGCACAAAATAAGAAACATTAGAGCAATTAAATGAAACTGTTCTCTGAAAGGCAGCCGAGAAATTCTACTTAACAGAAGAGTGGTAATAAAAACCATCAGCACTCTTCCATTACTAAGTATGTTACTCGGCATGGAGACGGTCCTCCTGGGGGCTCGGATGTACTTAAGCTGCTCCAGGCATCACTCGAGGGATTAAAATCATAAGGATTTGATTACCTCTTCATTGAAAGGGTCTAATTTGTTCAGGCTGAATGTCATTTTGTCATTTCTCATAAATTAAAGGAGAAACAGAATTATTGTTTTTCTCTTAGTTCTCACATGAGATGCAGATACTTCCTTCAGAGTGATACTATCGACTCCTGGGTCTAGGGGGCTGCCTTAGGATTTGAGTGGAGCAAGAATACTCTTCAGTGGGTTTTCCTTCTATATACTGAGTGGAGGTTAAGAGACCAAAGGCCTTTTTGAACTAAACCTATTTTACTGTTATCTAGGCTCTGGGCCAGAATTTCAGAGAGTGGATGTGCTTCTCTTAAGAGCCCTTTTCTTTGGGGAATGCTCTTAATATTGTGTACTAGGCTGAAGTGCCCCACTGCTATGCAGAATGGCTTTCAGGTCAGCATTTCTTTAGCTCTGATATGTACTCTCTAGTACTTGCCCTGGTAACAATGTCTTAGGGATCCACATTCCATTTAGGAGTATAACAGGTTTCTTTTCTATACACGAACCAAATAATTTCTGTCTTAACTGGCAACAAATTTTGCTGCCGTCTCAGGCAACCAGGCCCATTTTAACTTTCAGCACTGTTTAGTTTATTCTGTATAGCATGGCACTGTGCTGCCAAGAATGCTAGACTATGGTACAGAAGGACTGGGTTCTAATCACACTTTTGCCTCTAACTTAATTTAGTAAGTGATTTGCGGTAAGTTCTTTCATGTCTTAGGCAAGTCACTTTCTTTACTGGCCAACTGAGGTAGTCAGTTGAGAGGATCTCTGAGGTTTTAGTATTCTAAAATGAGCTCGAAGACTATTCTATCAATTTCTCATTTCACCCCTCATAGGATAAGTAAAGGGAAATAATTATGTATTTAGGATCCATGATGTTTAAACACTTTGCAAGATACTTGCTCTTTCATTAACTCACTCATACCTCTGCTCAAGCCATTTTACCTACCCCGAGGTGTCCCTCCAAAACCTGGCTCATCTTTGAGGCCTGATTCTGTTCCTCCTTTCCATGGGCTCCTTCCGTACTGCTTTTCACCTTAGTGCTTTCCATTTTTCTGAACTCTTACTATAATGAGTAACAGTTTAAAAACAGTTCTAAAACTTCAAACCAGTTCTTTTATACTGCAATTGTTCTGAAATTATCTAGTTTAGGAAATATATTATTCAATGAAAAATAAACACTGTTAAAGTAAAGGACATTGGGTCCCTTATGAGAGCTTTATCCTGATGTGTGCGTAATGACAGATAGATTTACAAAACTTACATGTTTGAGAAACTAACTGCTGGCTTTCCACCTATCCACTTGTTTGGTTTAATGGGTCTAAATCTTTTTTTTTTTTTTTTTTTGAGACAAGAGTCTTATTTTCTCACTCAGGCTAGAGTGCAGTGGCATCATGTCAGCTCACTGCAACCTCAAACTCCCGGGCTCAAGTGATCCTCCTGCCTCAGCCTCCCTAGTAGCTGGGACTACAGACATGCACCAACACGCCTGGCTAATTTTTCTATTTTTTGTAGAGACGGGGTCTCTATCTTGCTCAGGCTGGTCTCAAACTCCCGGCCTCAAGAAATCCTCCCTTCTCAGCCTCCCAAAGTGCTAGGATTATAGGCATGAGCCGCCACACCTGGCCATGTGTCTAAATCTTGAAACAGGAAAATCACACAGAGACTCATTCCTTTTCATAAATCATAGAAGTTACAGAAATTCCTATCACACCAATGTATTTTAATAAAAAGTTTCATTTCTTAAAGCAGCAGTAACTTCTATGACTATATCTACTACATCTTTTCTGACTGCAACTATCAACTTAACTGAAGACAAAAATACCACATATAGTTTGGCCAGCAAAATCCACAGTGATGAAATGAGTCAGTGACTAACTTTACAAAATGTGAGATCTAATGTTTCCAATTACTGTCCAAATTCTCTTTAGTAACCATTCAGGATAGAGAAGCTATAAAGTAGGGAAGAAAAGAAGTACAGAAATTTCATGATATTGGTGGGTGGGCACACAGATAAAGGAAGAGAGAAATAAGTAATTACGTAAGTATCTGGTAATATGGAAAGCTTGCAACATTATTCAGTTATGATTTAAAATACAAAGTATATATATTAAGTTTCTCAAGCAAAAAGTATTTATAACATTTCATCCTAATTAGAACACAGAGATGTCATATATAACTACATTTATATAGGATTAATCTAATGAATAAAATGCTAATATTTTCTATGCCTCTCACTTCACAATTCATAGATGGCAATACACCTATTTAACCTGTGAATTTGAATCTTTTCTCTACGTTTCGAAAGTCACCAATATCAAATTAGGTATAACTATGACCTCAAGATAAATAAGTTAATTATTTTGAAGAAATGATTTCCTTGATTTAGTAAAAAACCAAATACATGACACCACTGCACCCTACCTGGGGCGACAGAGTAAGACTCTGTCTCAAAAACAAAAGCAATAAAACCCCCAAATACATGTAAAAGAGTAACTCAGAAAATTCTTTTTGTTCAAATTCCCACTGTTATTTCAAGTCAACTTTGAATGGATTCTTGTATAAAATAATTATACCATGCTGGGTGGTATGGGGTTGGATACAAACACAGAAACTAGATTGTGCATGCCTTCAAAGAGATGACAGCCAAAGAGGGTGAATAACAGAAGTACTTGAGTGACCTCGACTTCAGCCCAGCTCGGCTAAGTGCCTAAGACAAGTATAGAGGGCCATGAGGGTTAAAGGAAGTTGGAGGAACCAAGAAAAGTTTAAAGGAGGAAACAGAACTTGAAAGAGTCATTTGATAACCAGAATTTTGAGAGGCAGAAATAGGAGGATGGGGAAAGTGAAAAAAAAAGTATGAGGAGAAAAAGTATTCTTATAAAAGGAATAATATGAGCACAGGCACGAAGCAGAGAAGGGGGCGCCTGGAAGACAGCGAGCAGTAAAGGTTTTAAGCATATAAGATATATGGGGGGAAATGGGAGTTAAGGTATTTGGAAAGAGAAGTTGGGATTTCATTATAGAAGAACCTGACTGCTGAGTCTGAATATGATGTGGTAAGGAATGAGGAGTCACTGAGTGTTTTAAAGCATGAAATTACCACAGGTTTTATTTCTTTACATCCATATATTTAACCACAGGCTACATATATTTAAGGCTGTCTATGCAACACAGCCGGCACACACAGGCCTAAATCCTATATACATACAGAGACACAAAACCAAATGGGAGGAAAGAGGCCAGCACACAAGCATGTGTCAGTGCCATGAGGGAACAGGAGAGGAGGTCCAGGAACTGAGACACTGTCACTTGTGCTCGATTGACACTGAGCTATTGAACAGTTGATTTTAACCAAATGCTGGATTCTTTAAATAACAACTTTTTAATAGTCAGACTAAGGTATGTGGTGATGATAAACTATGGTCAAGTTACAGCTTTCAGCTGGCCCTCATTTCTATACTTCATTCGGAATTCCAGCCATCTTTGGCATTTAAAGCCAATTAAATTCTTAGACCACAGGAAAGGATTGGGGTTAGGGGCTGCAGTTCAAGGACAGACACACAATGTAAGTGTTTGCCATATGCTAAGAAGCCCTGATCTAAAGTAATTCACTCAATCTGAATTACGGGGTAGGAAATATTCTGCCATTCATAAAAAAAAAATCTAATAGCCCTTCAAGCAGCATTATTATAAATATGTATATTTTATATATATATATGTGTATGTGTGTATATATATATATATATATATATATATATATATACATGAAATGTAGACAGATGGGTAATTACCTCGTGATCGTGAGTGGCCTGTCGGGCTGCATCTAAAAATATGAAAGAATAAGAGAACATTAAAGTGAAAAACAAAACAACAACAAAACCCAAGTATGTGACCATGCCAAACTATAAAACCTGCTGGTATATGTAGACTCTCACAACATATGACATTTTTCCTTAAGCCTTTATTAATCAGTCAGTCAACAAAAGTTAAAGGGAACCCCATACCTACAGAGTATATAATTAGGCACAAGAGAAAAAGCAGACACAGTTCTTATCTTTTTTTATTTCTTGAAATTTTTATTTGCGTGATAGACAGGGTTTCATTCTGCCACCCTGGCTAGAATGGAGTGGCGTCATCATAGCTCACTGCAACCTCAAACTCCTGGGCTCAAGCAATCCTCCTGCCTCAGCCTCCTGAGTAGCTGGGACTACAGGCATGCACCACCACGCCCAGCTAATTTTTTCTATTTTTTGCTGGAGATGGGGTCTCGCTCTTGCTCAGGCTGGTCTTGAACTCCTAACCTCAAGCAATCTTCCCACCTTGGCTTCCCAGAGTGCTAGGATTACAGGTGTGAGCCACCACGCCCAGCCTCATTTTTAAAAATTTTTTACAGAGACAGGGTCTTACTATGTTGCCTAGGCTGGCCTTGAACTCCTGGACACAAGCGATCATCCTGTTCCAGCCTCCCAAAGTGCTAGGATTACAGGTGTGAGCCACTGCACCCAGCCATACAGTTTTTACCTTTGAGGAGATTGAGGTGGGAGGGTGGACAGGAAACATATACCAAAGACCATTTGCACAACATTATTGTTTTAGCAGGCAAGATGCCCAAATGTGGAGAAGAAGCAATAGCTAAGGAACAAAGATGAGTCGTGGGTGGTGCTTCTTTGGCAGTGTTTCCTGAAGGGGAGCTTGAAGCAATACTTTTGATAATGTAATGAACAATTTTAACAGAAAACAAAAGATCATAAAGACAAGAGATACTACTTATCTTGTTCACTGTTGCATTCTTGATGCCTAGAAGAGAGGCTGGTATCTAATATAAGTTGCTCAATAAATATATTTTGAATGCATGCATATGTGAATGAATGAATGAAAAGAAGGATCACTGGGGGCTGAAGAAATAGTAGGGAAAGGCTTCGAAGTGTTAAAGGCAAGTCAGTTATGTAGTTTAGTGGACAGATATTCTTATAGGCAGAGAAATACCTAAACTGGGAATTAGGAAAAGAAGGGGAGGCAACTAAATAATAGGGGCCTTGGAGCACAAGCCAAATTGTTGATAATGAATATGGAAACCCAACTGAAATTTCTAAAGGATGTTATTTTAATAAAATTTCAACATGATGCTTGCAAGTGAATATTGGGTAGAAGAGAGATGACAGAAACACATCTTTTATAGTTATCACTCTAACAGTTGGCTTTAGGACATTCCATCATGCACGACCAACTTTAATACAAATACATTTGGTTCTGATTCTGATACCTTGCCTATGAGATTTGCCTTTCTGGCGGTCCTGGGTTTTCCTACTGAAGACCTTATAGGCCTCAGTTTTCTGATACTGCTCCAGTTCCTTCATGTAACGCTCCTTATCTCTGTCTGCTTCATCAAGATAGCGCTAGGAAAGAAATACAGAATTATTTCAAGAAACCAAGATCTTATTTAGGTAAAATATCAATTACCTCTTTGAGGAAAACAGAGGACAATTAGAATACGGAAAAAAAGAACACAGGGAATACGCTTTAAGGGAGACTCAGAAAAATAAGAGTTGTATAAATAGAACAAAATATAATCTCTCAATTATAAAGGAAATAAGTGATTCTGACTTTTTAGACTACTTATTGCCTTTTCTAACTTAATGAAGACAAGTTCTATTGAGATTATTCTTATAAAAAATTCATGAAGATGATTATAGTTATTCCTCTAACCCTACAGATAGATCTCCACGTGGCCACTAGAGTCCTCATGACGTCTGCACACCACACAGGCACACTTAGTCTTCCCAGGGGAAGAAATAGAATATTACTTTGTTTCTCTATTCCCAGCCCATTTCGAAGGAATGATCTCACACATCAATTGGCCCTTTAAGAAAGAATGGAGCACTAAAGCTGGGAGACACAAAGAACATAAAAAGAATGACCTCATCCTATGGACCTAAAAATGGACTACTTTTGAGAGAGCCTGTATCTATCTACATGCTTTGATTGCTTTGTGCTATTAATTATTGAAACAAAGTTCACTGATCTACCAGGATTATTTTAATGCTTTGCCCTTTTCATTCATCAAATTATGTATAAGAAACTATACAAATACTACTTCTAAATGAACAGAAACCAGAGTTAGAAATTATGTTAAAAACCTTGTCCCACATAAGAGCCAGACGTAGGGGACACTCGGCTGGCCAAATCTGTGACAATTTAAGCACCAAAATAATTTAGTGATAAACTATAAACCATTGGAAAAAAAGGAAATTTATACCAATAATAACAGATATATCACCAATTATTTATCATACCAATAATAAATAGGTAACAAACAAATACATAAATTAGGGGAGGAGGAGGGCTCTTGCTTAGATTAGAATCCTGAGGGCTAAATGTGGAAGGGCTGCCTGAGCTGGAAACACCACCTTGCATCCATAATGACACAGATTAGATCAGGCAAAAATCATCAATGAATGCTAAATCTAGGGAAAAATTCTGATGTGGAACAGGCTGTTTCATAAATTATCTCCCCAAAGGCTGCTTATTCATGATAAAAGAGAATAAAAAAAATTTCCCAGGTGAGCAAAATCAACATCACTAATGAAGAACAAAAGGGCACTGTGTCTGCACGTGGTACAGCGCCACCTGTGCGGCACTCTGACCAAGAACGCACGACCTCAATCTAATCATAAGGAGACGTCACAGACAAACATGCAATGAGGAACACTCTGTTAAAAGTAAAAAAAGGGGGTAAAAGAGAGAGGCTGTATTCTTAAAAAAAAGTGATGTTATAAAAGACAAAGAAAGGCTATGGAGATATGCCAGCTTAACGGAAACTAAAGAGATTTGACTACTAAACACAAAACCTGACCCGAGACTGGAATCTGTACCAGAGGGGAAAAATGTTACAAAGGAACAATGTTAGGCTTCAACTAATCACTTGATCATTTCTATTATCATATAAATATGATTGATGTACTTTCAATAAAAATAAAAATGTCAAGCAAGCAAACAAAAGGAACGATGTTAGCTCAACATATGGATGGCAGACTAAATAAAAGCACTGTATTAATATACAATTATGAAGTTGATATCTGTACTACGGTTATATAAAAGAATATCTCTATTCTTAGAAAATACATATGTGCAGAAGAACGAGTACACATGCAAACAAAGAAATGGGATAAAATGTGTTAACAATAGGCGAATCTGGGTAAACGGTGCTTGGATGTTATTTGTATTATTTTTATGTATGTAACTTTTTGTACATTTGAGATGATTTTCAAATAAAAAGTTAAAAAGAACAGGAACAAATACAAAACCCTTGTCTTACATAATCAACAGTGGTTATCCCCAAAGATAATTACTGTTACTTTTGCTTTTTTTGGTAATATGCTTCCGTATTTTCTGAAAAAAATCTGAACAATGAGTATGTATTAAATTTAAAGAAAAATAAAGAAGAAAAGAGTAACCTAGTAGGTACAGTTCACTATCCCTTTACACAGGAGAGCCAAAACAATGAACGATATACACTGCTTTCAACTAGCTTCAAGTTGCAACTTAATCTGATCTCTTTGAAAATTTTTGAATTCAATTAATTCCCAAGAGAGTATTTTTCAATTTGTTTTTAGTCTGTCTGGAATCCTTTTTAAAGAGTGTAAGTCATAAAAGAGTTTAAAACATAAAAGAAATATAGGTATCTTTCAGATGCTGGGAATGCTGGGAACTTCTAACCCGAAGCAACTCCCACAATCATTACCATCACTCTGCTCTAGTGGCATTGCAACCGGCTCGTGGCTATCTTGTCCTTAATTCCCCTCAAATCTGTCTAACAAATGGATTCATTTCAGTTTGGCAACAAGGTTAATTTATGTCTTAGAAGAGAAAGAATTCAAGTACTTCTTGCTTTATTTCCCATAGTAGGTTAATTTGCCAAAGCTCTAGTTAAAAAAATTTATTAAAGCAGTAAAATCTCTTTCTTAAAAATCTTATGTGAACTGCAGAATTTTATCAAATGACTTTTTCTCATTTAATTCATGACTTTTAACTCTGTGGAATAAATTATGCTAATAGATTTCTTCATTTCTTAATATTGAACCACTTAAAAAAATCTTACATGAACTCTTGGTATATATATATATTAATAAAATAAAAGCGGAGCTGCTTTGGTTGAGGGGAGTCCTAGACTCCCTCCTGCTCATACTCCTGCAGCACAGCCTGAAACAGTTTTAAAATCACTGGGCTAGAGAAAAGAGTTATGAAGGTCAGGGCTATTCTGGTGTCCCAGGCACTGTGACAAAATTGAAGAATCAACTGTTCATCCTCTGCTTTTCTTGCAGAAGTTATTGTTGAGATATAATCAAAACCAAACACAAGATTAGGAATAAGAATAATTACTTGTTTTTCCTCAGGAGGCAGTTTACTCCATTCATTGCCTAACATCCTTGTGATTTCTGGAAATGGGACTTCTGGTCTCTTTGCACGAAGCTGTTCACGACGCTCATTCATGAACCGAACATATCCTGTGAGGGGGGATTTGGGTGCATTGCTGTCTCGAAGAGGTTTCTTCCTCTTTCTTCCTTTGGACCAACCTCCTCGTTTACTTCTTTGCTATAAAACAAAACAAAATAAAAAACCAAAAACCAAACAATAACAATTCTTCCAAATAACCCAACAACAACAGTAAATACCAACAAACAAAACAGAATAACAGTAGCATTTTCCTATGAACAAGGCCCTGGATATTCAAAAGCTTTCTAAATGTGTCACAGGTACAAATAACTGCAATGCAGTTTTCAAGAAGGGACTCCAGATGGTTTATTTGCAGACCCTTTTGTGTACCATACTACAAACTGTTGCAGTAAAGGGCTACTTTTGTGCTAATCTTAACATATAAGAATAAGGGATACCATTATCGCTCAAACTTTGACCTTCATATGCACTTAGTAGGTCCTGATTCCTGACAGAGCAATATCCTAAATGAGAAATTCAGTATTACACACAGCACTGTGCCAGGGGCACTGTCACAGAAGATCAGAGTAAGATGTTGCTACGTGCACTGGGCAAAAGAAGGGACAAGTTGTAGAACAGGGATTAAAAATAATTCATGAAGGGTATTTCTCATTAATAACAGTCAAAGGCCTGTTTATTTCCCATAACAGATAGCATATAGATTTTAAGTTTGTTTATTTATTGTTTGAGACAAGGTTTTGCTCTGTTTCCTGGGCTAGAGTGTATTGGTGCCATTATATCTCACAGCAACCTCAAATTCGTGGGTACAAAATATCCTCCTGCCTCAGCCTCCTCAGTAGCTAGGACTATAGGCGCGTGCCACCACACCTGGCTAATTTTTAAATATTTTGTAGAGACAGGGTCTCGTTATGTTGCTCAGGCTAGTCCCAAACACCTGGCCTCAAGCAACCCTCCTCCCTTGGACTCCCAAAGTGCTAGGATTACAGGTGTGAACCACCATGTCCCGCCAAGATTTTTCTTTATTTTTGAGACAGGGTCTCGTTCTATTGCCCAGGCTGGAGTACAATGGTGAGATCACAGCTCACTGCAACCTCCAGCTCCTAGGCTGAAGCGATCCTCCAGCCTCAGCCTCCTGTGTAGCAGGGACTACAGGTGTGTGTCACCATGTCTGGCTAATTTTTTTATTTTTTGTAGAGATGGGGTCTCACTATGTTGCCCAGGGTGGTCTTGAACTCCTGGGCTCAAGTGATCTTCCCGCCTTAGCCTCCCAAAGTTCTGAGATTATAGGCATAAGCCACTATGCCCAGCCTGAGATTTTTAAATTAGTATCTAAATCTCAGAAAAATTTCAGTAAATGTAATATAACCAAAATGAAGACTAGTTCTTTGGCCTGATAATCTGTTCCTTAAGATGTATATTTTATGGTCAAAGGTCTTTATATGTTGAGTTATTAGTTAAATGAGAAGATTAAATCACCTCTTAAAAAAACAGAAAGGACTGAGGTACCACTGATATTTTATGACAGCCTTTTTTCTTGGCCCTTTCCATGAGATATAAAATACACCGTATTTTTGCTTCATACTTTTACAAATACACACAGCCTATCAGTTAATGTTTCATGGATATAATAATTTTTATTTCAGATAAGAGAAAGATAAATAAAAAGGGACAGAAACATCTAATACTATTAGCAGTACTCCACTCCTCCAAATATGTATATTATGGTGCAATGAATCACTATTGGGCAAATGGTGTATTTGGTATTAGTTGGGTTTTTTTTAAGCCTATTAACATCAAAGCTACTATGGAATTTAAGATGTTTAAGAAGCTTTAAGCAGTCATTATAATCTTTAAAAATGCCAGCAAGATAGATGAAAAAATTACCTTTTTTAACATAAGAAAAAACCCAAAAACCAATGGGAGATATCTTTTCTGGCTTAAAAAAAAAAAGAGTACCTTAAAACATAGATAATGTATCAGTTATCTGTAAGAAACACTGAAAGTCCAACAAGGGCATGACTGCCCAGGTCCATATGGAACCTTTGTGTGAGTTTGTAGCAGTCCCCAACCTTTTTGGGACCAGGGACCAGTTTCATGGAAGACAATTTTTCTATGGACCGGGAATGGGGCAGGGATGGTGAGTGATGGGGAGCGGCTGTAAATACAGATGAAGCTTCCCTTGTTCACTGGCTGCTCACCTCCTGCGGTACGGCCGGTTCCTAACAGGCCACAGACCTATACTGGTCAGTGGCCCTGGGGTTAGGGACTGCAGAGTTAAAGAAAGATGTTCCCTATGGGAGGGTGAAGGACTTGGTAAATGGTGTGAATTCTCTGGGCACATATGGCTCCATGGTACAGGGCTGGGTGAACAGAGTGTGGCCCTAACAAGGGCATATACACCTTTCATCACTTACTTATTAATGATTAAATCATTCACTCATTCAACAATCATTTGTTGAGCTGAGCATCTAATATGAGGCAGGTATATTTCTTAGGCGGAGGGAAAAAGAGTCTACCTGTTTCTATGTTATTAAAAGCATTAATATGGCCGGGCGCAGTGGCTCACGCCTGTAATCTTAGCACTCTGGGAGGCCGAGGCAGGTGGATCATTTGAGCTCAGGAGTTTGAGAACAGCCTGAGCAAGAGTGAGACCCCGTCTCTACCAAAAACAGAAAGAAATTAATTGGACAGCTAAAAATATATCGAAAAAATTAGCCAGGTATGGTGGCACGTGCCTGTAGTCCCAGCTACCCAGGAGGCTGAGGCAGGAGGATCCCTTGGGCCCAGGAGTCTGAGGTTGCTATGAGCTAGGATGACGCCACGGCACTCTAGCCCGGGCAACAGAGTGAGACTCTGTCTCAAAAAATAAATAAATAAATAAAAGCATTAATATGATTCTATATAAAACAAGAAATATGAAACAGAAAATTATACAGGTTTTCAGCCCAAGAATGTGAGAAGGCCAGATAATGAACACTTCTTTTGTTTTGTTTTGTTTTGTTTTGAGACAGACTCTTGCTCTGTTGCCTGGGCTAGAGTGCCATGGCGTCAGGCTAGCTTACTGCAACCTCAAACTCCTGGGCTCAAGGGATCCTTCTGCCTCAGCCTCCCGAGTAGCTGGGGCTACAGGCACGTGCCACCATGCCCGGCTAATTTTTTCTACATAATTTTAGTTGTCCAGCTAATTTCTTTCTATTTTTAGTAGAGACAGGGTCTCAATCCTGCTCAGGCTGGTCTTGAACTCCTGACCTTGAGTGATCCTCCCGCCTTGGCCTCCCAGAATGCTAGTATTACAGGCATGAACCACCACGCCCGGCCGATAATGAACACTTTAATCAATACCTCCCTTGCCAAATGCTTTTTCAGAAGCTTCAGAGGACGCTAACAGGAGGAGATACTTCAGCTTACCTCATCTTCATGCCTCTGTTCATTGCCTTCTGCTGTATTTGAAGACTCATTCTGAAGCAACTGACCTTGGGAGAGATCCTCCACAAATTCCGGATTGTTGGTGGACGATGCAGTGCCACTACTGTATGGAACCTCTGGGTGGGTTAACCTGAATAACAGGCAGAAATGCAAAAGTTCAGTATTGACAGCATCAAAAACTCCTCCTATTTACCAAGGTTCAAGACAAATTTCCCTGTCAGCAAGAGCCCATGCCATTCCTTGAATTAATTTCCTAACAACAGTCTGTGAAAATGTAAACAATGTCTCCATAGAAGTGACAGAGTGTTTCCAAAAATGGTTTCAGTGCTTGCTTGAACCAGGTCAGTTCCATGAAGAAGTCTACTGAAAACAACCATAATCTTTTCCCAAAAAAAAGACCTCTCCCCTCAACATAGCCTTCATATTTTAGCTCTGAGCATTCAGAGACTGACTTTTATATCCTACCTTTCTATTATCTCCAATGTAAAGGGAAAACACTATTAATGGAGAAGGTGAATAGAAATGAGAGTTGCACAGGCCATTTGCCATGTATCACAAAAGAGAGAGTTCTTAAAGACCCTAAGAAATATCTCTTATGGTACAGACCCTAAGAAATATCTCTTATGGTACATTCCATAGGCTATTTCTTCTTGGATTATAGTGTTTCTTGACAATCAGATCATTTCAGAACAGTATTATCAAGTTCAGTAAGTTTAGGTATAAATGTTAATAAGTCGGACAGACTTCTTTCCTGATCCCACTGTTCTGTTCCAGATGACTTAGCAAATCAGATCTCATCCTTCTGAAAAATGAACACAAGTAGGTACAGATGATGGTAGGATCTTAGATTGACTTACCCTATCACATGTGGATATGAGAATGGAAGAAAAGGCAACATCATGTGCTTGGAAGTTTGTTTTGTTTTGTTTTTGTGTATGTGTGGGGGAGGAGTTGGGAAGGTAAGGTGGCAGAAGATGGATAATAGAGTAATATTCGGTCACTATTCTGAAAGAACGTGCATACTCCACAGGGTCATGGGCAATAATTACAATGTAATGTAAGTACTAAAACAGAGGTTTGTAAAAAGTGCCACAGAGGCATGGTAGAGGGGATAATGAATTTTATATGTACGGAGAGGATGTAAAGAAAGATTTTAGGTCTGTCCTTAGCACACTCCACCTCCATACCCAGTCTAAAAAAAAAAAAAGATTTTACAGAGGTCTTAAAAGACAAATATGTATTCATCGGGGGAAAAACCATCATTCCAGGCAGAATGAACTGGGTATAACAGGGAAAAGGGAGACCTATCATGAGGCTACAGCAAAAGACCAAGTGAGAGACAAGGGCAGGCAGGATTGAGACTAGGGGAGGGAAAGCTAAGAGATACTTAAGGGGTAGAATGGAGAGAACTTAATGACTGATGGAATATAAATAGTGGAGGAAAAAGAAGAGTCATGGGGTAAGTCTAAAGCTTCCAAATTGGTGATTACATACTTAATATTAACCAAGGTAAGAACTGTGTGCAAGTGTGTGTGTGTGTGTGTGTGTGTGTGAGACATGACAGATGAGAAAATGGCAAGTTTGAAATGCCTGTAACATAATTAAGTGGAAATGTCCCAAAGACAACTGGAAGCGTGTCCTGAGAGAACACAGGTGAAGACAAGGCATGAGATAGATTTGAGAGCCACGAGCCCATGAAAATAATGGGCATTGCTAGATATTTTCCAGAAAACAGATGCAGAGTGTCCTGGGAATTAAAGAGATCACACTTATTTGACCCATTCTAGGAAACAAAACAGAAGATTTTAAGCAGGAAGTTCCTACATTATTGAGGTCTTTTAAAAAAGGGTAAGTAAAAGAAGCTATGAAACCAATGCCAATCATGTTCTCTGAAAAGAGATACCATCAGAGATCCAGTTTGATTCCGGCAGTGCTATTTTCCAAATATTTCAATCATTTTGGATGTGTTAGGCAACTTGTTCTTTCACTGTCATTCTCATTTCAACTATGCCATCAATTTTCAAGTTACTAACTCTTGTACATTCTTATTTCAGTAAAATACGAGAACTAGGTTTAGGAATGAGCATTAATCCCATGAATCCCTGACTGAAGTGGACAGGAATAGGAAGGGAGTGGTCAAAGGTGTCAAATGCCTTTTTGAAAAGTTGGATAAAGACTGAAAAAACAAGGTTCTTTTGTTATCACAAATGAGTTGTTCATGTTCCTAGCTAAAGCCAACGACCCTCCCGTTTTCATGCTGAGTCCCAGATCCTCCTGCTATTCAAGGGTAGGTTTTCAGCAGTTCTGTCCTTTCTGGCAACACCAATTCTTTTACCTCTACAGAATCAGCCTAATCAGCATGTAAATTTGATATTAGTCCTCTTAAAACAGAACAAAATGAAAAATAAAACACTTGTTCAATCCCACTTTTAGTGAAGGTCCTCATTTTTCTCCTTTCTTTTATAGCAAAACTCCCAAAAAGAACTTGTTTATACTTACTGACTTCAGTTTTTCTCCTTCCATTCTCTCTTAAACCCATTGCAGAGGAGATATGTGACGATACCTCTTGTCAAGGCCACCAGTGACCTCCAGGCTAAATCCAATGTCATTTCTCAGTCCTCATTTTACCTGATATACCAGAAGCATCTGACACAGTTGATCTCTTCCTCTCCCTTGAAATATCTTTTTTTTTAACTTGGTTTCCAGGACCCACACTTCTCTGTTTTTTTCTGCTACCTTTTTAGCTACTCACTTTAGTCTCTGTTGACTCGTGTTCTTCTGCCTGACTTCTAAATGCTGGGATATCACAGAGCTCAGGCTTTAGATCTCTTGTCTCTTCTACTATACAGTCCTTATTTCTTTGGTGATCTCATCCAGTCTCATGGCTGTAAATATCAGTTATATGCTGATGACTCCCAACTTTCTCCTTCTAGCCTAAACTTCCCCTAACTTCAGAACCTGACATCAAACTGTCTATTTGACATCTCTGCTTAGGTATCTAATAAGCATTTCCAACTTAAAATTTCCAAAATTGAGCTCCTACAATTAATTCCTTCTCCAACCTGTTCGGTTTTCCTCATCTAAGTTAATGGCAACTCCATCCCTCCACTTGCTTAGGCTAAAACTTCAGAGTTGTCTTTGACTGCTTTTTTTCCTCTCTTTTTACACTGCTTACCTAGTCTTTCAGGCAAATCTTACTTGGAATATCTTCAAAATATATCAAGAGTTCTATTCTTCTCACTATCCCCCATTCTCATTATCTATGAAACACACTCAATGAGGTTTTGGCCCCTATCACTCCAGCAGAAATACTGTTGTCAAAGTCACCAGTGATGTTCTTCAGGTCCTCATCTCTCTCCTGAATTATTCCAAGAGCCTCCTAACTGGTCTCCTTGGTTCAGCCCCTGACCCCTTCACTCTCTACTCAATACGGTCAGAGAAATCTTATTAAAAAACAAGTCAGATCATTCAATTCTGAAATCCACCAATGCTTTCCCACTTCATTCAGAGTAAAAGTTGAGGTATTTATTCTGACCTCTAAAGTCCTACATGATCTAGTCCTTATTACTCAAAGTATGGGCCTCATATCAGCAGCACTGGCATTATCTGGGATCCTGCTTGTTAGAAATGTAGAATCTGTGGCCCTAAGTCAGAAGTCAGACTTCCTAAATCAGAATTTGCATTTTAATAAGCTCTGCAGGCAATTCATATATACACTAAAGCCTGAGTAGCACTGATGTAAGCCTTCTGTTGTCCTTCCCCCGGCTAAGTATGACTCCAGTCATACTGGCCTCTCGGTTATTTCTTTTTTTTTTTTTACTTCTTAAAAAAATTTTAATAGTATTGGGGGGTATAAGCTGAGTTCTGATACATGTATGAGATAGATTTGATAGATATTGTATGATGAAGTCTGGGCTTATGTATTCATCACCCTAATAGTGTACATTGTACCCTATAGTTAATTTTTCATCTCTCACCCCCTCCTCCTGGCTATTTCTACAAGGTGGAAACATCCCACCTCAGGGCTTTTGCACTGATGGCTCGCTCTGCCTAGAATAATCTTCCCCAGATAACTGCATGCTATTAATAGTTACCTTACTTCTTTCAGGTATTTATTCAACTCACTTTCTCATTAAATGCCTTCTGGGCCATCCTGTCTAAAAGTGTTCTGCCAAACACTTCCTAACCCTCTTCCCCTTTATTTTTTTATACATAGCTCTTATTACCATAGTATGTATTTTACTTATTTATCCTGTTTATTGTCTGACTTCCCCAGTAGAACTTGAGCTCTAAAGGGGCTAGGATTTTTGTTTTGATCATTGCTTTATATCTAATGCCTGGTACACTGGCACAGAGTAGACATTCAGAAAATTTTTACCGAATTAACTGGATTTATTAACTATGCAGCCTTTAGAAAAGTTTTGGAGAACAGTTTCAGCTGAGTAGTGAGGTCGAGGCAGATATTAGTGAGGTGAGAAATGAGTGTGAGAGAAGGAAACAGAATTACAAAATATAGCCTGTTTTTTAAAGTACTCTAAAGAATATTAAAATAATTCATCTTAGGGATTAGTTAGCACTTCAACCTGTTAGTGAATATATTTCCTCTTTGGTAAAAACTTCTAAATATCTAGAAAAGATAAAAATTCAAGAGGAACAGAGATTTTCGAGGGAAGAAGTAGACTACTATTAATCATTTTCTATATTACTGTACATACTTGTCTAAAGATTCCATAGAAAGGAAATGGGGAGGAATAAAAGGAACAGAAGTCAGTGAAAGCTCCTAAGCATCTTGAATAAAGAACTGTATTAAAAAACGTGATCTTTGGGAAAAACTTATTTTAATATCTGCGACAATCTGAATAGAAAATGCATTTGGGCCGGGCGCGGTGGCTCACGCCTGTAATCCTAGCTCTCTGGGAGGCCGAGGCGGGCGGATTGTTTGAGCTCAGGAGTTCGAAACCAGCCTGAGCAAGAGCGAGACCCTGTCTCTACTAAAAATAGAAAGAAATTAATTAGACAACTAAAAAAATATATAGAAAAAATTAGCCGGGCATGGTGGCGCATGCCTGTAGTCCCAGCTACTCGGGTGGCTGAGGCAGGAGGATCGCTTGAGCCAAGGAGTTTGAGGTTGCTGTGAGCTAGGATGACGCCACGGCACTCTAGCCCGGGCAACACAGTGAGACTCTGTCTCAAAAAAAAAAAAAAGAAAATGCATTTGTTTTTTCAGAGCTAGCTCTGGCAGATATTTCCTTAATGGTGACTAGGTAATTTTCTTAACCAGAGTCACTAGATCCCGCATATTGCTATACCAGTTCACAAGAACCAGAGCACCGCAAAGGACAGCCAAATGCAGATTGCAAAGCGGTTTACGATGGCTCTTACTCTCTTTGCAAAGTGCAACAAATATACCTTCTAGTCTTATGATATAAAACTGCCTCTTTAGCACCTCATACTTTGTTAGAAGCTTTGTTTTGAAGCCTATGCAGAGGCCTAATGTCCCAAGGCAGCTGCTTACCCAGTTGTAGCCAAGTCATTACTCTCCTTGGAGCCATCTTCATCTGCAAAAAGGGGTGGCAGGGTAGAACTAGTCATCAAGCTTTCCATCTCTCTGGAAGGAAGAGAGAATAAAAAAAAAATAATGGCTTACTTACTTTCTGTCAAGTTCCACTAATTTAACAGCCAGCTTTCCTTAACTTTATCACATCAGCAATAGAATAGAAACTGACCTAAATATTTATTTTCCCGACTTGGACACATCAATTTAAACTCTATGGTCAATGGGCTTTTTAATCCTGGTCTTATCAACTGACCAGACTAAATACAAGTTAGATTTTAACAACTGGGACACAGTTTGGAAAATTCTTTTTTATTCATCTAGAATGTCTTCAAAAGTATTATTCATTTCCTGTAGAAATTGTTAAACAGAATAACTCAGAAGCACTGCAACCATGAGCAAGTTATTTAACCCTTTTGAGCTACAATTTTACCATCTTAGACACAGACAAAATTGCTGACTTAACCCACAGGGTTATTGTGAGGGATTAAAACTGAAAGTGGTTCATAAACAGAGAAAGGCTAAGATAGTAAGAGCTTTGAGTATTATTACATAAAGAAAGGTATTGTTGTTACAGCATCACCAGTTTTCAGTCCCAGATGAATCATCCTTAGATTAAATGGTGATAAACCGAGGCCTCCAAAAGGAAATAATGCAAAGGAAGTTGAGGATGGAAGGCATACATGTGGTTCTGAGTCAAAGAAACCACACTTTCAGGTCAGAAATATGCTCTGCATCACCATCATAACCAAGAGCAGAAACAGCATGCACCTGGGTACAGGAAACAGCTAAGCTTCATTGAAGAAAACAAATCACAAGAACTTGAGGTTATCAGACTGAAAGGATAAGAGGACAAAGTGACAGAGAGAGTAATTTCATTTAGCATATCACTACAAAGAAAGATTTTCCCTTTCAAGGCTTACCACTAAGGGCTTCACCCCACATAGCTAAAAGCAGCAACCTTCCATTTATCACGAAAGTGATATTCAAACAAAACGTTCCATAGTGACCCAAACATCAGCCACTTAAGTGGAACTGCAAAGCACTCAAGAAAGAGAGTGCCTCAATTAACCGGCAGAACCAAGAAGCAAATTATGAATTCACTTAGGAGCTTCCTCAGCAGTTATTTCACGTGCTGCAGCTAAGGAGACCTAGTGAAACAGCAATTAAAAGGAAAGCACAGCAGCTAAAGCAGAGCTAGGATTCATTTCACTGAGGTGGAAATACAAAGATAATGCAGATGACACTGACAACCATGTTCTCCATGTTCAATACAGTAATTTATTTCCAAAAGATAACACTAATGTTTTATTTCTTATTTTTACTTCACTCTAAATTTATTAGTTAGCAGACCAAGTTCCATAAATAGCTTAATGTGAAAAAATGCATCTCTGTACATACATTACCCATTTTAGTGGGCAGAGCATGGAAGGCAGAGAGAGGAACTTCCCACTCAATCATGGAGTAAGGAGTTTTTTCCACTGCATGGATGCTTGCTAACTCTTTTCAGTTCCTTCAAGATGGGTTGTTTACAAATGGAATGGCTCTAATAAATGCCACACAATTCCATTCTACACGTTTTCTAGAATAATCCTGACTCAAGTATACGGAAGTTGTTTGTTTTTTTTTTTTTTGAGACAGGGTCTCTCTCTGTTGCCAGGGCTAGAGTGCAGTGGTGTCATCATAGCTCACTGCAGCCTCAAACTCCTGGACTCCAGTAATTCTCCTTCTGCCTCAGCCCCCTGAGTGGCTGGGACTATACACACACACCACCATGCCTGATTAAGTTTTTTATTTTTTATGGAGATGGGGGTCTCACTCTTGCTCAGACAGGTCTCGAACTCCTGGCCTCAAGCAATCCTCCCGCCTTGGCCTCCCAGAGTGCTAGGATTACAGGCGTGAGCCACCATGCCTGACCTTTAAGTTTTAATTCACATTATACAAAAACCAGCTTAGAGCCTGGGCTGCTAACATCACTTTACACTAGTGCCCATGTTCATTTTACCAAAAGAAAACCATCAATTAGATACCATAGAGACAACTGTAAGGAGCAAACATTCAAATGGCCAGGTACATACCCCCAGGCTTTACAATGACTCATGTAACTGGCTTTTTCCTATGGTTGTCCCTAGAAATCAATGGCCTTTCAAGAACCTCAGGATTCAGCATTTGAAGCTCTTGGCACTGCTCCCATAACCTCAAAAGGAGATATATTATCTGGTGGGGAATAAATGAAGTGTCTTTTCATTTACTATGCCAACACGACCCTGTTAGCGTGTTTCCCAGATATCTTTGGTCATTTTTGAGATGTGGGGAGGCAGCTGGATAACACAACCTTAACAACATATAAATAGATCATATAAACAAAGGAAGTTCAGAGAACACACATTTCTTCCTTTTTGTCTTCTCTATCTTAAGTTTATTTTACTCAACCCATATGGCTTCAGATATATTTTCTCAGTGTTACTGAGTAGTCAGATCCCCAAGAAATGAGTAATAAAGTGGGTGGAAGGTTAAGGGGCCAAGATCAACAAAAGAAGGAAATGAAGAAAAGTCCAGTGAAGCCCAAAGGCCTCTAAACTAGTCCAATAAGTTGGAAAATAAAATGATTCCCAAGAATACAGCTGGGATCCTGCAAGAATGTGTTTCATATGGTCCGCGAGGGAGTGATTCAAACTGAATCATGGCTATCAAGCCACTGATTGCCAAAAGCCCTTCACATGTAGCATCTGTGCCTGATAATATCTCAGTACAGAGGTCACAATGAACTTTGAAATTCTATGCAAAGCACTTAAGAAATGTAATGAATGCTGCTCTGCAAGGGGAAAGAAGAGAAATTTGTACAAAGGCAAAGCAATATAAAAGTTTGGTTTTCCACTGCAATTTACATAAATAGGTTCATCATGCTGATGCTTCCTAGTAGAGAAGACCTACCCAGTGAAGGCTTCTACCTGGAGGCCTCACAAAAATGGTGTTTCCTTGGGCTTATACTTTGAACCCGGGTCTGGACCTTAGCTTTGGAAATCCTAAAATTCCCTCTAATATTACCCACTCACTGAAAAAAAAAAAAAAAAGAATTGATGCATAAAACACAGTGCCAATTTAAAATATTTAAATGGTGATTACAGAAATTATAATGAGCAATATATTAAGCATACTAGACACTTATTGACCAATGAACACATTCTCTCTCTGCAGTAATATGCGGAGTCAAATCACAATCAGAACATTGCATTGGTCAACACAGAGTCAGAACGAAGGAAATCAGGTGGAACTTAAGAAATGGTTCTCAACTAAGATTGTTCTAGTAAACTTTCCCACGGATAAAGATAATCGCACCAATGAGACTATGTTATTTCAAGTGTGTTGGACAGTGCTGGAAGCATAATTTGTACTTCTATTTTCTGGGGTTGGCTCTTTTCAAGTGCCCTCGCTTTACATATGTTAACCCCACTTCATTAAGTCCACTCATGGAGATGCATCATATTCCTTCCCCTCTACCCCCTCCCCAATCATACACTTCAGAGTTGCGAGGTGAGATTCTGCATTCCTCATTTTCCACACTATTATACAATCTTTATGCAAAATCCCTGGTTCTTTTAAAAATCAGGTCACTTGGTTACATCAACCTCATATTCAAAAGTCTCTGAACACGATCTCCTATCATTTCAGCTCTCTTAATTACTCCTATTACAACTGACCTTTAACCCCACACTCCCCTATTCAGTGACCCTTGAATTTCCCTTCTCTGACCAGCTTAGATTCCATGGCCACATTTCAAATGTTCCTTTGCCAACACTCTCAAGTCCCTTGCTGTGCTATCTTTCTGTAAACCAGAAGTATATCAACTCTGAGTTTTGGCTCAAGATGGTAGAAACAAAAAATCACAAAATAAAGAGTGCTAAATTTATGGGCTCTAATCATAACTGGGCCCTCAATGCTCTCAGCAATCTTTCTACATGTTCTTAAGATACTTCCCAACTGCCACATCATCTCTGCCAAACTTTTTCAGACTAATTCAAACCTAACTCACCCAAACCCTCGAACTCAGCCTCATCTTTTCACACTCCCCAACCCCAACTCACAACAAAAGGCATACTGAATTGCTTTTTTTTAAAGATATAAATCACGTACCATAAAATTCACCCCTTTAAAGCATACAATTTGGTGGGTTTTAGTATATTCACAAGGTTGTGCAACCAACACCATAACCAATTTTAGAACATTTCAGTCACCCCAAAAAGAAACTTAATACCCATTAGCAGTCAGTCCCCATTCTCCCATCCTCCTAACCCTGGGCAACCATTAAGCTGCTTTCTATCTTTATAAATTTATCTATTCTGGACATTTCATGTAAGTGAAATTACACGCTATGTGTCCTTTTGGTGGCTACTTTTATTTAGCATAAAGTTTTCAAGGTTCATCACATTATAGGATGTATCAGTACTTCATTTCTTTTTATGGCTGAATAGTATTCTATTGTATGGTTATTCCACATTTTGTTTATCTATTCATCAGGTGATAGACTTCGTTGTTTCTATCTTTTGCCTATTGTGAATGCTGCTGCTTATGAATATTTGTGTGTAAGTTTCTTTGTGGATATGTTTTCAATTCTCTTGGTATATGCCTGAACACGGAGCTGGAACTCCATGTTTAACATTTTGAGGAATGACCAAACTTTTTCAAAGCACTTGCACCATTTTACATTCCCACTAACAATGCATTAGGGTTCCAATTTCTCCATATCCTCACCACACTTGTTATTGTCTATCTTTTTTATTATAGCCATCCCAGTAGATGTGAAGTGGTATCTCATTGTGATTTGGGTATGCATTTCCCTGATGAGTAATGATGTTGAGCATCTATTCATTTGCATATTGGCCATTTGTATAGTTTATTTTCTTTGGAGAGCTGTCTATCCAAGTCTTTTGCCCATTTTTTTTTTTTTTTTGAGACAGAATCTTGTTCTGTTGCCTGGGCTAGAGTGCCATGGCATCAGCTTAGCTCACAGCAACCTCAAACTTCTGGGCTCAAGCAATCCTCCTGTCTCAGCC